GTGTGTGTGTGTGTGTGTGTGTGTGTGTGTGTGTGTGTGTGTGTGCGCAAAAAAAAAGAAAAGAAAGAAGGGGGGTGCAAACAGAAATGGAGACGTAAACAAACAAGAGAAGGCAAAGGAAAGAAATAACTGAACTCATTCAAAGAGCCCCTAGAAATTTTAGATAATCTTCAACAGCTTTCAGTTGGAAGGCCTGGACGAAGAGCTTGTAGTCGCTCCACCACTCACCAAATATGTAAGATGAGAATAAATGTTCCGCTAGAACTTGAAAACATAGGTGAATGATGCGTACGATATGTATGAATGTGAAGCCTCCAAAGTCCAAATGCACCTGGTTCAGAAAGACGTCTAAATATGTTATGTGTCGAATGATGGAGCAAGGCCCACAATAACGCGTACAATAACTCCGTACTAATTACAGGTTAGAAGCTCAGATCTTGAAGCACAAAATAAAATATTATAATTTAACACCATAGTAGGGTTCCCCCTTCACTGACACAGAAGCACATGCCATGATGCCACATGGACAACACATGTGCAAGTAATACAGCAGTGTTCCCGACGCCTGGAGGCTGGAGCTCTTTTTTCTATGGATGATTTTGACTTTGCTTACGTCAAGTTACGTGAACTACAATTCATTTTGTAAATTCGTACACAACTCCGCGAGTCCGTCATTTCACTGTTTCAGTAATAAAATATATATATATAATATATATGTATATAGTCAAACAGAGCTGCTCGGTAAACCGTCGGCAGAGAGGCAGAGAGGCAGAGAGGGAGAAGAGGACAACAAACGAGGGGCTGTGACGAACTGTTTCATCGGAGTTTCACCTACCTACGCATCAGGAGGCTGAACCCTCCTATACAGTCTGCAGACTTCCCTAACTGATTACACTGTAAGTTATTTATAATCCACCTTAACCCCGGCTATGGTTAAGCGTCAACGACTGGACAACAACTGATACCCCTCTGAGGAGGTGGGCACCAACTGCTGCCCTCAAGGCACCTGTGATGAAAATCAAAGCAGACTATCACTCACCGACACCAAATGGAAAAGTCTACACAGAGTCTACAGAGTTAAAAGAAGAATGAGAAACTGAATGGTTTCACTGTGCCGTTGTTTTTTGTCTTTTTATCCTTTCTTTCGCAAAGTGCGCTCTTTTAGTTCATAGTTATGTGACATTATATATAGTATATACCGTCGTATATTTTTTTGCACAGCTTTGTTTTGAAAACAGCAGAACCAATCTGCTTGACCAATGGCAGAAACCTGGCAAGCTGCTTGGCTACACAACACTCTACAGCATTTGGAATTTTGGACGCTTTCTGTATCGGAGACATTGAGAACATTGGATTCGTCCGAATGCACCTGGTCCACAAAGTGTCTAATTCTTGTCGATTGTTGTGCAGTGGAGCGACGCCCAATTTCAAAGATGCTGGCTTCGTCTCTAAATTTCAAAGACGCTGGCTTCGTCTCTAAATTTCAAAGATGCTGGCTTCGTCTCTGCAAAGTTGTTGGGAGACGATATCGTTTTCTTTTATGGGAAACCTTTTCCAAGCCCAAAACTTGATTTCAACGGCCATAGCTCAGTTGTTACCCCCAAGGAACTGATGAAATTCAGAACCAAGATCGAATCCAGATGCAATCAGCCGAAGAGAATGAAATAAGTCTGAATTACCTGGTGCCGGCCGTTTCAATTATGATATCTAAAGCTTGTCACCCTTTCTAAAAGTTAAAAAAAACCTCCAAAATGGATTGTTTGCCACCTGGGGCCGGGTTCCCACTAGCAAAGAGGATTCGATTAAGCTCCTGAATCTGGACGTGTTTTAAGGCAGAGTTGCAGAAAAAGCAGTTCAATGAACGTCAATCTCGATTTCTGCACCTTTCCACAAACACGTCCTTACGCAGGCAGTCGATCCAATCCTCTTTGCTAGTGTGACCTCCCCCCTGCTTCCACCCTGCATTGTCATATCAGTCCATCCTTTTCCTTTTCTTTTTTTCTTTTTTCAAGGTTTTTTTTTTTCCTTTTTTTTTTCTCCTGGCAGCCTTGGGAATATCAATCCATCCTCCTGGGATCATGTCCCACTACCACACAGTGTCGGATTTAACGCCTGAATATATAATATGGATGTGTTTGTGGAGAGCTGCATATTGCTAACACAATGTTAATCTGCTTACAGTAGACCCTATTAAACCCTATCGCAGTCCTCATTACCACAGCGCAGAGGCTGCTTTCAGTGTCCTCCTGTTGATCTGAGGGTGTCTATTGCGCGTGCTTGTGTAACAAGTGGGGACCACCTCGAGCTCAAATGCGAGCATCACCTCCAATCTTGACTCCAATTTGAAGTCACTCGAGCTGTTAGTCGGAAAATATTTATTTGTAATATGATCTTCAGTTGAATGAACTTGAATAGAATTTTGGATTCAATGCATTTTTTCAATGTTTTTTTTTTTGTTTCCCCCCCCCATTCTGCGACCTTAGGAATGATAGCAGTGCCAAGCCAATGGGCCATCCTCTGAAGGTGGAGTGAGAAACAAGGGTGCTTCTCCCCTTCCCCCCCACCCACTATCCTCCTCCCACTCACCCCTATGCCAGCGCTTGGTTCAATGTGGCACTGGAAACAAACAGGATGGCCGTTCATCCTCCTCTTTTTTTTTTTCGTTTTTTGAAAAATTTTCCCCTTTTTTGCTGTTAAACAACTTAAACCTTTTTGATCCGTTTTTTTTTTTTTTTTTACCGTTTACCCTTGTTGCCATTATGCTTCATTTTTCAGTGTAATAAATAAATAAATAAATAAATAAATAAATAAATAGAAGGCAGTGTCCCATCCAGATGTTTTCAATTTTCTCTCTTCCAGTGCCCTAGAGTTGATTCTATAACTTCCCCTTCTCCCACTTCCCATCGATTCGAAACTTGTCGTTACTTTTATTTCGCTCTTTTGCAATCTTTGTTATCTTAGCGGATCAAAAACTTTTTTGTCGCCTTTTTGTAATGTTTATCAGGTAGCCCAACTAAAATTTTTATTTCGCCCTTTTTTGTGATCTTTATATCTTATTCAAACTCATACAGTGATTAGGCCAAGTTGCGGCCTTTGGGACACATGATGTAAGAATTGGAAAGATACAGACTATTACAGAGAAGATTAGCATGGCCCTTGCAGGGGCTGCACAAGGATGCAAAAGGAAAATCTAGAGGGAAAAAAAAAAAGAAAAAGAAGAAGAAGAAGAAGAAGAACAACAACAACAACAACAACAACAACAAACTGTGGTTGCTCAACCTTTTTTTTTTTTTTTTTTTTTTTTTTTTAACCTGCCCCGATCTATTCGTGGGGTAGCTGCACATGCTGGGAACTGTGCCCAGCGCCCCTTACAGAATAATTATATTCGGAAGATTATTGAAAAGCCCTGGGGCCATTACCCGGTCTCGGCGGAGAACAGTCAAAATCCAGATCGACATACGCACATTTAAACGCACTTCACTCCTCACTGCAGCTGCGCAGCAACAGCAGCAGCCTCTTCAGCTCCCCCGCAAGGTAGTCGCTCTTTTTTTTTTTTTTTTTTTTTTTTTCAGGTAGTTCAGAATTATTTTGTGTCACTCATCTGGATTGGGACCTGGGTCCGCATTTCAACAAAATTCATGGGTGTGCCAACTGAGCTAGGCTCATTAGTTGCTGAATTTACATCTTGAAAATATAGTGCAAATTCTGCAGAGTCAGGGGGCTAGGTCCCACTTGCACGGATTAAGAGATACTGACCGTAGATAGCAAAGATCAATGGCCCAAATCTCCTGATTTGCGCAAGTGGGACCTTGCCCAGGGTCTCCCCTCCGGCACCTGGCAGTCTGTGCTGGAGTTATAATATTATATCTTTCACTGACCTCTCCTCTGCGACTGCTTTTTCATCTTGCACTGTACCTCTCCTCCGCGACGGCTTTTCCTTCTGCTCTCAATGAACATCCAGCTATATCACGGCCAGGTTCCAATAGACAGACACCTCCAAAGATGATTGCTTTATGAAAAGATGAAGTAATTAATTAATTGATTGGATAGAAGGGAAAAAAAATGAAAACGGAAGAAGAAAATCGAGTGTGAAGTACACCTCGCTGACGAATTTCACCGCGGCGTCAGTCTCCAGGTCGATGCATAGAATCTGCCCTCATCATCATGCGATGCCGTTATAAGGTGAAACCTCTTCGCCTTCTTCAATTATATGTGGAGCTCATCCTCATCATTGCCTCTCTTCATGGTCTTCAATTGTTTCCATCTTGCAGCAGGTCCGTTGGTTCAACGAAACTGTCGGCCTTGCCGCGCAACACACCAAACGAAAAATAAGAGAGTGCGTCTTTCCACTGAAGAAAGCAAGGTACATACCTCACCCTGATACCGATGGATCTTGACCCCTTCTTTTTTCCGTTTCTGTGTTGTGTTTATATAGTCAAACAGAGGTATGCGGTAAACCATAGGCAGAGAGGGAGGGAGAAGACTCTGAGGACAAAAAACGAGGGGCTGTGACAAACTGTTTCGCCGGAGTTTCACTGACTCGTCAATCAGTAGAGGCTGAACCCTCAACAGTCTGCAGAATCCCCTAACTGACTGATTACACTGTAAGTGATAATCCACCTTAACCCTCGTTGTTGTGGTTAAGCATCAACGACTGCCCGGCAACTGATATCCCTCTGAGGTGGTGGGGACCACCAACCAGTGCCCTCAAGGTACCAGTGACGAAAATCAAAGCAGACTATCACTCACCTACACCAGATGGAAAACTCTATAGACTGTCCGTTCACACCCCATCACAAGCAAGCAAAACACCCACGAAAACACCCACGAAACAAAGGTCTGTCACAGCCAAAAAATACACTCCAGACACGCCGCTGGTACTAGAGTCACAGCATGGCTGCATAGTGACGGCCCCGACCACTGCCGCTCGACCTGACCGGAGAAAATGTGCTAGCGAAGTCGTGAGAGAGAGAGAGAGAGAGAGAGAGAGAGAGAGAGAGAGAGAGAGAGAGAGAGAGAGAGAGAGAGAGAGAGACTTTCCGCCAGCTCGCTGGACCCAGCCTCCGTGTATGGGAAAAGCAGGCCACAGGTACTGTGGGACCGTTTGGGTTTGGAGGTTGACCCCCCCACGACATTCGACAGCCATGGCCTTCGATTGGAATATGGGGGTTGAAAGTCGGACTGTGGTAGTGGCCAAGCGGGAGTCTGTGGGGACCACAAAAGAAAAACCACAGGGACCGACCTGAACCACGGCAATTCCAAGCTGATGTTAAGGGCATGTTGCAGGACAATACGTCAGCTGAAGACCTAGGCGCAGAGCCCTGGGTGCAGCTCCATTAGAGAAGAGGGTTGGATTGGTAGCCCGAATCTGGATGCGTTTTATGCAGACAACCAGGTCAATCACGAGTTTCTTCACCTCCGCACAAGCACGTCAGATTCAGGCATTAAATGAACATAAATCCGATCTGCTTTTGCTAGTGGGACCTTGCCCCTGGACTTCCTTAACTCCAGGGTCAGTAGAAGGAAGGACAGGTTCGGGAAAGTAGATTTGGAGGCGTAAATTAATTACCTCCACCTGCCAGCTCTTGGTTGCTCTCAGGGCTAAGTCCCGCTAGCGGGGGTTTAGACTTGGTTTGGAGTATACACTGGTTCCTTCCGTCCCATCTGAACATCTCATGGCCGCACTGTGGCCACGTTGAAAAATACGAGGAAGGAATACAAAACCCTTGCTACTGTCTTCCCCCGAACATAGCGCACCCTGAAAATGAACGTATACAAGGAATGTTTCCGGCCCGATACAGGCAAGATGGGGGTGCGTTGTGTTCGGGGGGGGAAGACGGTAGTGGGGCTTGGCCCTCGGGGAAATTTGTCCCCAACTTGAAGGACAAACTGCATGCCGGGACCCCCCCCAACACACAGCAACCAGTGTGTGAATGGCCTGCGTCGATGCCATCCGGCCGCGTGCACGAAGTTGCGGGTCTGAAGATTCGAGCCTGCAACCGCACACCACAAAATGCGCAGTTGACCCCGGTGCTCTGGCTCAGCGGAGGGCCAGATCCCACTGGCAAAGAGGATTGGACGAAGTGTCTGAATCTGGACGTGTTCCACACCGAGGTGCATAAACGTAGATCAATCACAATTTTTCGCACCTGTCCACAAACACGTCCACATTCAGACACTTACTACAATCCTCTTTGCCAGTGGAATCTGGCCCTTAGCTGGGCCAACCTGACCTTTTGTTTTTCCTCTTGTTGGTTCGGAACGTCTTTTTTTCTTTTTGGAAGCAAGTCTGGCAATCCAGCGGCCCAGCTCAGTTGGTTAGGCATGCAAGTGGCATTCAGGAGGTTGTGGGTTCAAGCCCCATGGCCGCCTGCGGCGCACTTAGTGCTAATGGACTGTGATAGTCCTCCAGATACCCCTGATCGGTATTTGCGCTGTCTCTTATACACATCTAGATGTGTATAAGAGACAGGGTTGTGTGTGTTTGTGGGGGGTTGTATGCGGCGTGTAGGTGCTGGCCATAGACACTGCTACGATGGGGGTTGTGGGAAGTACATGGGAGGTGCAGCTGCTGGCAAAATGCTTTGTCTTTACTCCCTGCTGACCACCACACTTTTAGGGCGGGGGGCAACATGCATCCCCTTGATTGTGAGAGGTAGCTATGTTTGCAGGGGTCCCCCCTGTCCCTGTATAGGCTTAACAGTAGTGGTAGGTAGGTAGTCGTGAGAGGTGAAATTGGGAGAAGAATATAGCTTTGCTAAAAAAACACCAAAGAAAAAAGAAATAACAGCAGATGAGTCATGTTTTGAAACCCTAAAGGCGAAAAAAACTCGCGCCGGCAAAGAAACCACGTGCCAACTCGAAATGAGCAATTTCGATATCCGTTGGGCTTTTTTTTTGTTTGTTTTTTTGTTTTTTTTGTTTCCCTTCCTGACACTACGGCGGACGCCTGTTACACTGGACCCGGTTTCCAGCGGGCGCAGCTCCCCACCAATAGATGGAGTGACCAAGCAGACCTAGCAGGAGGGGATGCTCGTATCACCCACCCTATTAGATTCTGCAGAGTCGTCCGTGGTACTTCCGTTGCCTTTTCGAACTCGGCGCGGTTTTCTTTGCCGATGCGTGTTTTTTTTTGCCCATACTCAAAGGTGACTATTTCTGAACTTCCAACTCTTTTGAGGTCAGATTTGGCACAAGTTGGCAGTTTTTTTTTTTTTTTATGCTGATCGTCTTGTCCTGACAAAGTGTCTGCCAGGTTCTAAATGCTAATGCCAGAGAACCTCTCCACTATTTCTGGCTCCCGCCGCCCAAAACACTAAGTTTCAGAATTGACTATAGATTACTGCCACCACTACATCTTATGGTTATGGGTCAGCAGATTCCAAGTCAAGGTTGACTTGGGCAAACTGACAAAAACAAAAACAAAAACGAAGGGTCAGAGTCCGTCAGACTGACTCAAAACTCCCAAGTCAAGACTGAATTGGGCAAAACGGACTCTCTCTCTCTCTCTCTCTCTCTCTCTCTCTCTCTCTCTCTCTCTCTCTCTCTCTCTCTCTCTCTCTCTNAGGAGGTTGTGGGTTCAAGCCCCATGGCCGCCTGCGGCGCACTTAGTGCTAATGGACTGTGATAGTCCTCCAGATACCCCTGATCGGTATTTGCGGGGTCTATGACCAACACGGGTGTGAGTGTGAGCGCGAGTGGGTTGTGTGTGGTGTGTGGGAGAGTGTTGGCCATTAGCCTCTGCTACCCCTCGATGAGGGGTGGGGTTCGATGAGAAAGGGAGGCGCAGCTACTGGCAAAATGCTCGGTCTTTGCGTAAGCCGGACCCCCATTGGCGGCCCCACCGGCCCCCATCTCTGACTACCGCTGTTGGGTCTTCGTTTGCGAGGCCCTATGCTTGCAGGGGTCCCCTCTATATAGTCTTAGGAGTAGTGGTAGGAAGGTAGTGAAAAGCGAAAAAAGAATTTGAGAGAAGAACATAGTGTAGTTAAACCACTAGTACCTTTCCCGCGTGGGAAAATAGGGAAAACTGGCTACTCCTGAAAATTTGGAGGCCGGGCCCGACGACAATTTGACTGCCATTGATAAATCTGATCGGTGGCTGTCGTTTTGTTTGTTGTCGCCCGGCCTCCGAATTTTCAGGAGTATCCAGTTTTCCCTATTTTCCCACGCGGGAAAGGTAAACAAAAAAAAAAAAAAAAAAAAAAAAAGGAACAAGTCCGGCAGTGTCACACTTTCAGTTGCGAAAGGGCCAAAAAAAAAAACATGCGCGGGCAATAAAATCGGGTGCCGAGTTTGAAAAGCGCGATATCGGTAAAAAAATGGCTGTGGCCCGCGTGTGATTTTGTTGCCCTTTTCAAACTTGGTGCGCGAGTTTGTTATACCCTTTTCAAACGCGCTGCGCGGTCGAAAATGCTTTTGTTGTCGCCCTTTCACACTCGGTGCACGGGCGGCGGGTTTGTTGCCCGCGTGCGTGTGATTCTGTTGCCCTTTGCGAACTTGTTTGTGCCACAACGGAACTTACCTCGATCCTAGCAGCCTGAACGGCATACTCGCACTGGGCTAACTGAGATGCATCTGGACATAATTATGGTCAGGTACTTACATCTAAAGAAACTCCTAGGGCGAGCTTTCCCTAATCCCCTTTTCCATGCCAGTCCTGAGACAAACTTGACATATAATTGGGAAGGGCAACAAAATCACATGGGGGCAACAAACCCGCGCGCCAAGTTTGGGCAACAATTTCCAACAAAAGCATTGTTAACCGCTGCTACGATCAGATTGCAGGGATGACGGCATGAGAAATTCCACCAAGCAGGGAAATAGTCCATGGAATTGGTTTCAATGATCCCCCCTCTTGATCCGTTCATTCTTTTTTGTGACACAATTACCCCCCTAGTGGGGGTTTAGTTTATGTTTACTTTTAACTTGTTTAAGTATGTTTCAATGCGGCCACAGTGCGGCGGTGAGATTTCCAGGTCGGATGCCAGGAATCCGTGCGTACTAGAGAAACATAAATTAAGCCCCCACTACCGGGGCATGGCTCCCAGAAAGCCTCCAAGAAAGCAAAATTTAAAAATGTCAATTTTAACGAAAGTGCTTGGATGGGAGGACTACCCTACAACTGGCATTGATGGTCCGGCGTCCTGGGGACTCCGGACCATCTGATGTATCTCGACATAAAGTACCGTCTAAATACATCCGAGGGTCAAAAAAAATTAAAAAAAAATTGAGGCATATCAGATGGTCCGGCATCCTGGGGACGCCAGCCCATCAATGGTCTGATGTGGTCGGCACAAAACAATGCTAAAAAATACTGTGCTTTTTTGGAAGATCAATTTCATGAAAATAGTAAAATAGCAA